ATCTCAGAGCAATTAAGTTTCTGAACGGCTGGCGGTGTTTATAGTCGCTCGCGTGTCTGCGGAAGCCCGCAGTGGATGAGGTGGTGGGGAGGTGCGGGGAAGGTGGTAGTGGGGAGATGGTAGGGGGGAGATGGTGGGGAGGGAGTTTAATCCAGTGTCGGGGGGGGGGGGGGGGCAGGGTGGTGGGATCCAACTACTGTTTTGCGGTATCTAAGATGAGTCTCCCACGACGCTTCTGTCTTCCACCCCGGGGGTAGCCGGGTGATGTATAGCCCCCGCTCAGGCCGGGTGAGTTAGCTGGTATTTTCGTAATATAATCCATTACAGTGCTCAACCCCCTCCTCTCCCTCTATCCGGCTGCGCTGCTGATGGCTCTATCAGGCCAACAATCAAAGCAGGTACGGTCCAGGTAGCCAGCTTGGCCCAGCCACCAGCTATGTATGATATATATATATATATATATATATATATATATATATATATATATATATATATATATATATATATATATATATATATATATAGGAATTTAACAACGATATTTCCTCAAACTTTTACCAAGCTTAATATTGAAACAAAAGATTGGCATAAAGACTATACCCTCTTATGTGGGTGGTCTTATTAAGCTGTTTTCTTCCATGGGCTTCATCCGTGGGAAGGGGGGAGGGGGGAGGGGGGAGGGGGGAGGGGGTAGTTTGGGGCGTGTTGTTCAGTTATGGCCCGAGCCTGGCCAGGGAGGCCGCTCATTGGTGGAGAGTGATGGTAATATTGCCAGTATTTATTGTTTATAAGTTATGATGAGTACACAAAAGTTGTTATGAATACATTTACATTTTTATTAATGGATTGAGTTTTGAGAGCAGAAGCTGCCGTTTTTCCTGTTGCTGCTTCTCCCGTTGTTACTTCTGCTCCTGTTGATGTCTCTCTCCCTATTAATGGTGATGCTGCTACTTTCCTTCCTCCTCATTATTCCCACTCTCTTCTTCCCTCACTCTCTTTGCACTCCTCGTTTCACTATTTCCCTCTCTTCCCCCGCCCCACTTACCACTACAAACCATAAAGAAAACTAACATGCAGAAACTGCAAGCAGTGCAAAATAAGGCGCTAAGGAGAGCAGCAAAACGCCGTCCACCATATGATCAGACAATCCAGGAGCTCCATGAACTCCTGAACATACAACCACTAAACATCAGACTGTAGCACCAAGCCATCAGGGTGTGGAACATCATCCAAATGTTAGAGGACCCAATGTTAGAAAGATTACTCCAAGATGAGACGCCCCGCTCCCACAGCTGGTGGCCCAAGATGAGACGCCCCGCTCCCACAGCTGGTGGCCCAAGATGAGACGCCCCGCTCCCACAGCTGGTGGCCCAAGATGAGACGCCCCGCTCCCACAGCTGGTGGCCCAAGAGCCTCGATTCTCTGGACGAAAACCCCGCCCCACAGTATATAATACCCAGATGAAATACTGACCAGATATCCTTCCCCCATAATTGAAAAATTTAGTATGTATGTGTATAGTTGTGTGTCGTACCTAATAGCCAGAACGCACTTCTCAGCCTACTATGCAAGGCCTGATTTGCCTAATAAGCCAAGTTTTAATGAATTAATTGTTTTTCGACTACCTAACCTACCTAACCTAACTTTTTTGGCTACCTAACCTAACCTAACCTATAAAGATAGGTTAGGTTAGGTAGGGTTGGTTAGGTTAGGTCATATATCTACGTTAATTTTAACTCCAGTAAAAAAAAATTGACCTCATACATAATGAAATGGGAAGCTTTATCATTTCATAAGAAAAAAATTAGAGAAATTATATTAATTCAGGAAAACTTGGATTATTAGGCAAATCGGGCCTTGCATAGCAGGCCGAGTACGACGTTCTGGCTACTAGGTACGACATATATATATATATATATATATATATATATATATATATATATATATATATATATATAATCTTTGGACAACACCCACCAGTGGGACTCGAACCCAGAAAGCACAACTACCTTCCAGTAGCTGGCATAACTAGTATGCTTTAACCCACTACGCCATCAGACCTTACAAAAGAAGTAGATAGTTCGAGATATATATATCTCAAACATCTCTACCTCCCGAAGGCACCAGATGAGTGCGGGGTCAGTCTGCATTTTTCGTCAAGCCACTGTCAATGTGAGAGAACTCGTGTCCAGCTTATAAGCTGGATCTCACATTGACAGTGGCTTGACGAAAAATGCAGACTGACCCCTCACTCATCTGGTGCCTTCGGGAGGTAGAGATGTTTGAGATATATATATCTCGAACTATCTACTTCTTTTGTAAGGTCTGATGGCGTAGTGGGTTAAAGCATACTAGTTATGCCAGCTACTGGAAGGTAGTTGTGCTTTCTGGGTTCGAGTCCCACTGGTGGGTGTTGTCCAAAGATTGTTTATCTTCACTTGTGGTTTATGCAAGTATAGGCTTATATATATATATATATATATATATATATGTGTGTGTGTGTGTGTGTGTGTGTGTGTGTGTGTGTGTGTGTGTGTGTGTGTGTGTGTGTGTGTGTGTGTGTGTGTGTGTGTGTGTTTTACTAGTTGTGTACTAGTTGTGTTTTTGCGGGGGTTGAGCTTTGCTCTTTCGGCCCGCCTCTCAACTGTCAATCAACTATTTACTAACTACTTTTTTTTTTCCACACCACACACACACACCCCAGGAAGCAGCCCGTGACAGCTGACTAACTCCCAGGTACCTATTTACTGCTAGGTAACAGGGGTACTTAGGGTGAAAGAAACTTTGCCCATTTGTTTCTGCCTCGTGCGGGAATCGAACCCTCGCCACAGAATTACGAATCCTGCGCGCTATCCACCAGGCTACGAGGCCCCCTCGCCGTGTGTGTGTGTGTGTGTGTGTGTGTGTGTGTGTGTGTGTGTGTGTGTGTGTGTGTGTGTGTGTGTGTGTGTGTATGTGTGTGTATGTGTGTGTGTATGTGTGAGTATATGTATGTAAATATGTATATATGAACAACCCGATAAATAACATGTATGTATGAACAACTCGATAAATAATAATAATAAAATAAAGAGCCTTAAACAGAACAACATGTGTGGAAGCATCGGAGTGTGTATATATGAATGCTACACAGTATTCATCTATAGACATCCATATATGGTGAAACACACGTGAAGAACCTCTCACACACTCACAGCTCCCTGACAAGAGGGAGCCAGCTTAGCTTAGCTGCTAACACCCACACATCGAGTCAGCAAGGCGGACAGCCCGCCTGCTTTCATACCTCTCACTGTATTTCCCACTTCTAAACTTCCCATCACCTATGCCTCTCCTTCCTCTTTACTCCCACCCAAAAAAAAAACCTTCCCGCTCCCACCGTACTCCTCTTCCCTCTCCCATGCAAGACGGAGCAACAGAGACCAGAGTCAACTCGTCAACAAAGTCTGGCATGGGACATAATTTGCAAATGTTCAAATCTTGCAACAATCTTCATTAGACATCTTTATCTTTTCTTTATTTTCGTAAGTTGGGAATAGCGGAAAACCACAGATAAGAAATATGTGGGAACGTTATCTGCGCAAATTGTTTACAATTTCTAGAGATGGTGAGATGCTGGTGATGGTGAGATGCTGGTGATGGTGAGATGCTGGTGATGGTGAGATGCTGGAGATGGTGAGATGCTGGTGATGGTGAGATGCTGGAGATGGTGAGATGCTGGTGATGGTGAGATGCTGGTGATGGTGAGAAGCTGGAGATGGTGAGATGCTGGAGATGGTGAGATGCAGGTGATGGTGAGATGCTGGAGATGGTGAGATGCTCAAGGTAATGGAGATGAAGTAGTAGGTGCAAAGGGAGATGAAATGAGATGAGATGTTGCCGACCATGAAGTTCTTAAGACCACAACTCGCTAGAAATGGATTTCTAGATATGAGATGAAGGGGCTAGGGGGGAAGGGAGGCAGATAGGGGGTGGGGGAGATGGATGGAAAGGAAAAGGGGGGATAGAGGGACAGGAGGAGGAGAGAGAGAGAGAGAGAGAGGAGAGAGAGAGAGAGAGAGAGAGAGAGAGAGAGAGAGAGAGAGAGAGAGAGAGAGAGAGAGAGAGAGAGAGAGAGAGAGAGAGAGAGAGAGAGAGAGAGAGAGAGAGAGAGAGTACAGAGGGTGATAATAAAGAGTGAGTGGGGTGCCTCCCACCCTGACCGGTCCCGCTAATGAGCTGATGACTGCTCATAATAGTTAGGTCGTTACTATAAGCGTGACGAATCATGTTCAGGTTGTTAGATGCTGCATGACACTTGTGTGACGTACTGACACATGTGTCCTCCCAGGTGTGTGTGTGTGACGTACTGACACATGTGTCCTCCCAGGTGTGTGTGTGTGACGTACTGACACATGTGTCCTCCCAGGTATGTGTGTGACGTACTGACACATGTGTCCTCCCAGGTATGTGTGTGACGTACTGACACATGTGTCCTCCCAGGTGTGTGTGTGACGTACTGACACATGTGTCCTCCCAGGTGTGTGTGTGACGTACTGACACATGTGTCCTCCCAGGTGTGTGTGTGACGTACTGACACATGTGTCCTCCCAGGTGTGTGTGTGACGTTACTGACACATGTGTCCTGCCAGGTGTGTGTGACGTTACTGACACATGTGCCCTGCCAGGTGTGTGTGACGTTACTGACACATGTGTTCTCGAAGATGTTGCATATGGCCCTTGCGTGTCGTTCAGGTACAGATGTTCTCGCAGGTGTTTTATAGGCCTTTCCAATTGGACTGTTGCAGGTGGGCACTACACATGTTTAATGTAATCACTTGTGTCAAGATCTTTGTCCTGTTCATTCATCGTATGTATCCCCAGCCACTTGGGCTGGACGGTAGAGCGACGGTCTCGCTTCATGCAGGGCGGCGTTCAATCCCCGACCGTCCCCAAGTGGTTGGGCACCATTCCTGCCCCCAGTCCCTTTCCTTTCATAATTACATTAATTGTCATCGTATGTCTCATACCATATCAGTTATTATTTTAACTTGGCTTTTTTTTCGAGGTGTGTACTCGAGTGCTCTTGAGAGCTCTTGAGCACTCCTCAGCGCTTCTGAGAGCTCCTCAGCGCTTCTGAGGGCTTCTGAGAGCTCCTCAGCGCTCCGGAGGGCTTCTGAGAGCTCCTCAGCGCTCCGGAGGGCTTCTGAGAGCTCCTCAGCGCTCCGGAGGGCTTCTGAGAGCTCCTCAGCGCTCCGGAGGGCTTCTGAGAGCTCCTCAGCGCTCCGGAGGGCTTCTGAGAGCTCCTCAGCGCTCCGGAGGGCTTCTGAGAGCTCCTCAGCGCTCCGGAGGGCTTCTGAGAGCTCCTCAGCGCTCCGGAGGGCTTCTGAGAGCTCCTCAGCGCTCTGGAGGGCTTCTGAGAGCTCCTCAGCGCTCCGGAGGGCTTCTGAGAGCTCCTCAGCGCTCCTGAGCCACTAGTAACGCCTCGTGTAACACAAACAATAACGCACTACTCTGGTAACTAACTGCTCGACACTTTCTGTTTGCATGTTGTTTTCAATGCACTTTCTTTACCCTTTTTATTTTCATTTTGTTCACTATCTCTTCCATTCACTCTAATTCCTTTTTATCAACTTCCCCTCTGCTCACACTATCCACTCTGCTCACACTGTCCACTCTGCTCACACTATCCACTCTGCTCACACTATCCACTCTGCTCACACTATCCACTCTGTTCACTCTGTCCACTCTGCTCACTCTATCAAGTACAACTTTTCCATCAAATCTGTCCATCCCCCCCCCCCCTACGACGTTGCTACTCCAGCCTGTGTATCCAGTCCTTGTAAGAGACGACCCACTCTTCAAGCAATCCTTCTTGCCCTGCCCAATCACCCTGCTGTTAAAGTCTCATATTTCGCTCCTATAAACTATCAGGGGAGGATCTGTCTTACGTAAGCGGCTTACAGTGCGACACAATACACAACGATAAGTCATCGATGAAAGCAGAGGCTGGCGAACGTTCGCCTGGCTTACATTCCATTCTAGTCGTGAGCTCAAGGGAGCACACGTCAAGTTGAGCGATCCTGCGTCTGTCGGTATCTTGTTGTTATAGATTCAGTTACTTGGAACAAAAAGATTCCAAGTAGCACGGGCTATGGTGAGCCCGTTGTGGACTTACCTGGCACAGGAGCGGGGCTGTAACTTGTGCCTGCCTGTCTGTATCTTCGCCAGCGTCAGATATATCTGCTATCCCCCACCCCACGTCAAGCCCTATAGTATTTCAGGACACGTGGTCTAATCTGTAAACAAATAAGAAATGCTAACTGCTACCAGATTCATTGATCACTGCTAGCAGCCTTATCTGCCTGTGGTGGGAGATGGGAAGATGCTGGTAAAGATGCCAACAAAACTAAGAATTATTGCAACTGGTGCAGTTATAAGGGTACGTAGCATTTACTTTGTGCCAAGTGACAAATCTTGGGAGTACAGTTGGATTCTTGAGTGTCCAGGGAGAGTTAGGTGCTGAAGCTGGAGAGTGCGGGAGTCAAGCAACGTCCACCACTAACGGGGAATCTCATAACTTCTCGACAGCAGTGGTTGCAAATCATTTATATGTCGGTCAAGTTTGCTAGCATCTTTAAGATGTACTTCAAAATGTGGATGGCTCTCCGCCTATCCTCTCTCTCAGAGTTGCAGACAAATGTAGAGATCGTTGCAAGACAACTCATCTCAAGTGCAGGCGATGAGTCACAATAACCTGGCTGAAGTCATCTCAAGTCTGACTGAGTAGGGATGAATGGTAAGTCTCTCAAAGCCTTCAACACCAGGATGCTGTCGGCGGCTGTACGCTTTATATAACATAAATGTTCTTAGGGTTCTCTACCTGGGCCAACCTTGAAGATAAATACAAGAGGTCGGCATCTACAACACAAGGCGGTCAGCCATCAACAGCTTCAGGCCAGCTATTCATTCTCAAGAACACTCCATCAGCGAACACCCAGTCCTCAGCTGGCTTGGAACAGCTTCCTTACATAATTGACCTATTCTGAAACCATCTTTAAATGTCGCAAATAAAGAATGAGCTCATGAAGTGGTTTATTTTCGAGGGCTTCCAGGGCGCAGGATAAGAAGCAGCCCTTAACTTGTGGTACTGACGCTCCAGCGTCAAGACTATAAGTATATATAATATGTATATGTTATGCAGTACAGACTATAAGTATATATATTACCTACATGTTACGCAATACCTGTACGTCGACGGGGTGAATTTGAAAACTAATTCCATGAAAACTCATAAGGACTTACGACCTTCACACTTAAACGACCAAATACGTCACGGGAGATTTCACGACGGTAGTGAAAAAATATATTATGAATCGGTCACTAGCCAACAACAGCCCCCCCCCCCGAAAAAAAAAAACAAGTCTCTCTCGGTACACAAAAGCGAAAAAAACCTCCCCCCCCCAGCACATCAACATCGTCCCGTGTCTTGGATTTAATAATAATGATGTAATATTGTGATTTACAGCGCGGGGCCGGACACCGTCCCCCCCCCCCGGGGGGGAGGGGGGAGTGGGGGGGGGGGAATACGGGCGTATTTCAGCCCCGTCCGTCGTAAATACGTGTCGGCGCCATCATTTACAGGTGCTTGTGATGCATTAGACGGCTTTACGAGAGCTGAGCGCCATTCACACCGACGCTCTGCTGTCGGGGAGGTGATCCCAGCGGGGGGGGGGGGGGGGATGGGGGGCCGGGGGGGGAGATGGGGGGCCGGGGGGGGGGAGATAGGGGGACGGGGGAGGGGGAGTAGGAGATAAGGAAACGTGGGAGGGGCATTGGAGAGGTATGTGGGAGGGGAATGGTAAGATGGGAGGCAGACTGAGACGAGTGTGTGTGTGTGTGTGTGTGTGTGTGTGTGTGTGTGTGTGTGTGTGTGTGTGTGTGTGTGTGTGTGTGTGTATCTGTGTGGAACAGGAACGGAAGTGAGGGGTGAGGATAGTTACACACAGGTGAGGCAGCCCGTCCACCAAAAATGGGGAGGTAAATGAAACAGTCCCATAAGTGCAATTATGTACTATGTATGACAGTAAGGAAATGTACTTATTACACTTAGTAATAAATCGTAGTGTCAATTCGGAGGATGTGTGTATCGGGCTGGGAGAGGAGGAGGCTGGGGTCATCTGTCACCTCCTACAGATGAGTCACTGCTAGTCTCATGTCCCCCAGCAGTAGTCAGTCACCACTCTCCCCCCCCCAGCAGTAGTCAGTCACCACTCTCCCCCCCCCCCAGCAGTAGTCAGTCGCCACTCTCCCCCCAGCAGTAGTCAGTCACCACTCTCCCCCCCTCAGCAGTAGTCAGTCACCACTCTCCCTCCAGCAGTAGTCAGTCACCACTCTCCCCCCAGCAGTAGTCAGTCACCACTCCCCCCCCCAGCAGTAGTCAGTCACCACTCCCCCCCTAGCAGTAGTCAGTCACCACCCCCCCCCTAGCAGTAGTCAGTCACCACTCCCCCCCCCCTAGCAGTAGTCAGTCACCACTCTCCTCCCAGCAGTAGTCAGTCACCACTCTCCCTCCAGCAGTAGTCAGTCACCACTCTCCCTCCCCCCAGCAGTAGTCAGTCACCACTCTCCCCCCCCAGCAGTAGTCAGTCACCACTCTCCCCCCCCCCAACAGTAGTCAGTCACCACTCTCCCTCCAGCAGTAGTCAGTCACCACTCTCCCTCCCCCCCAGCAGTAGTCAGTCACCACTCTCCCCCCCAGCAGTAGTCAGTCACCACTCTTCCCCCCCCCCAACAGTAGTCAGTCACCACTCTTCCCCCCCTCCCCGCCAACAGTAGTCAGTCACCACTCTCCCCCCCAACAGTAGTCAGTCACCACTCTCCCCCCCAACAGTAGTCAGTCACCACTCTCCCCCCCCCAACAGTAGTCAGTCACTACTCTTCCCCCCAGCAGTAGTCAGCAACTCCCCCAGCAGTAGTCAGCAACTCCCCCAGCAGTAGTCAGCAACTCCCCCAGCAGTAGTCAGCAACTCCCCCAGCAGTAGTCAGCAACTCCCCCAGCAGTAGTCAGCAACTCCCCCAGCAGTAGTCAGCAACTCCCCCAGCAGTAGTCAGCAACTCCCCCAGCAGTAGTCAGCAACTCCCCCAGCAGTAGTCAGCAACTCCCCCAGCAGTAGTCAGCAACTCCCCCAGCAGTAGTCAGCAACTCCCCCAGCAGTAGTCAGCAACTCCCCCAGCAGTAGTCAGCAACCTCCCCAGCAGTAGTCAGCAACTCCCCCAGCAGTAGTCAGCAACTCCCCCAGCAGTAGTCAGCAACTCCCCCAGCAGTAGTCAGCAACTCCCCCAGCAGTAGTCAGCAACTCCCCTAGCAGTAGTCAGCAACTCCCCCAGCAGTAGTCAGCAACTCCCCCAGCAGTAGTCAGCAACTCCCCCAGCAGTAGTCAGCAACTCCCCCAGCAGTAGTCAGCAACTCCCCCAGCAGTAGTCAGCAACTCCCCCAGCAGTAGTCAGCAACTCCCCCAGCAGTAGTCAGCAACTCCCCCAGCAGTAGTCAGCAACTCCCCCAGCAGTAGTCAGCAACTCCCCCAGCAGTAGTCAGCAACTCCCCCAGCAGTAGTCAGCAACTCCCCCAGCAGTAGGGATCATGGATGTTGTGGAGGCAAAAGGGGGGGGGGAAGGGGGGAGGGGTGTAGCAGTGACGCTAGTGGTTGTGCTCAGTGGTAGTAGTAGTGGTGGTGATAGTTGTAGTGCCAGTGGCGTCGGTGTTGTGTGGTAGCCGTAGGATGGGTTGTGAGGCAGGATTAGTTGGGGTGGTGAATGGGTGAGTGCCAACCTGAGAGTGAGCAATGGCTACCTTTGTGGTGACGTCACACACCTCTTGATTGAGGACCCGCGCTCAGTACGGTCCTCGCAGACAGCGCCGGCGGGAGGCCGGACCCCTTCCAGGGGCCCCAGAGGTGCGTGCGGGCCCCCGGAGAGCTCCACAGGGGCCCCTGTGTGGGATGGGATGGGGTGGAAGGGGCATGAGGGGCATGAGAAGGGGTCAGGCCTTAAATTCCGGCAGTCTCTGCTAGTGGAGGGGTGGGGGGGGGGGTGTCTGGGGTTGGTGGGGGGGAGCCATACCAATGTGGTAGCAGCGGGGGGGGGGGGGGTGGCTGCGTCACTCCCCCCTGTGGGAGTCTTCCTCATTTTCTCAAGAATTTCCTCAGCATCTTCTCAAGATCTTCCTCAAGATCTCTCTCAGCACCCTCCTCATCCTTATACCACTTTCCCCGGGACATTCTCTCTTGCGTCTTCCATAGAACCTTCCTCAGCGTACTCCTTTCTCATCACACTTCCCCCAATATGTGTCTCAGCAGCCTTTCCTATGACTACTCTTCACTACTATACTACCAACAACATCTTTCTCAGCTCAGCACTATCCTAGCATATTTTCCTCTCACCCATCTCCACCATCTTTCTCAACT